AAGGGGATGAATATGTTAGGAGAAGCTTTCGCAAAGTTGAAGGGTTTTATTGGAAGAAATAAATTAAAAATATAGGGTGCAAAATTATTTTTCAGTATTCTCTCGAAAAACATTATTTGCGGTCGACTAAGGAGTTATTAGGAACCTAATACTTAGTTATTAAGAACCTTTACTTTACCAGTTCTGCTTCAGGAAATAATTCAACGAAAGAATCTCGCACATGTACTGACACCACTAGGAAAGTTATAAATTCCGGTAGATTGGTGGACAGTGTTCAATAGCTCTGCCTACGTGGAGGGAGAAATATACGTTATTGCAAGAAGCCAGCAGGTTTAGGTGGCCGGGCCTAGGCCTTCTATGAGGGGACGCCAAGGGCTTGCCTCGACGCCGCCTCACGGGCGTGCTGGCTCGCCCAGGTTTGCTCGTAAAGGGTGAGGCTCCGAAGACCCTCGTGGCTCTTCGACGAAAAGGTCGTGGTGTTAGTTTGTCGGTACTGTTCCGGGCACTCCCACAGCATATGCGGAAGCGTCGCTGGGTAAGTGCCACAGCACTGGTAGTGGGAGGTTGTGTACAGGTCCGGGAATATGAGGTGAAGGCGGGCAGGCGAGGGATACGTTATTGAAGTAGACGCAAAGCGGTGGCCTGTGCCCTGTTGAGCTTGGGATGAAGTGGGGGAAAGGCTCAGCGTATGAGGTACCAGTTCTGAGCGAGATCATTGTAGGTAGTCAGGTTATCCCTGATGTCAATCTCGTCTCCAGTATCTCCAGTGCAGTTGACAAAGCCTCACGCAAGGGAGTGGATGACCTCGTTGAGGTTGGGGAGGTGTGAGTGGACTGGGCCGCTTGGGTGGGGATCCATGTCAGGGTGATCATGTTGTCTTGGAGTGCGTTGCCTGGCAGAGTATGCGAAGCGCTTGAGGTTAAATGCGGTTTTCAGTGTAGTTAGCGACGGCTGAGTGAGAGTCGCATGCGATGGTGTCACAGGTGGGATATATAGAGGCAAGGGTGATGACCACCTCTTTAGCCGTCTCGGCAGAGGGCGTAGTGAGGCTGGTTGCATGGTGCAGGACTCCAGTGCGTGTGGTGACAACTACAAAACGAGTGCCTTGAGGATTTCGGGCTGCGTCAACAATTGTGGCCTTAGGTACGTGGACAAAAACTTCTGTGTTGTCTCCAGCACCAGCTTGGCGCCCGGCTCTATTGTAGTTAGGATGAATGTTTTTAGGGATGAGACCCGCGTGGATCTAGCTGCGGATGTTATGTGGAACGGTTTGTTTGGGGCCCTGTTGGTGATGAGACGTGAAGCCAAGCGTGGAGAAAATAGAACGTTTCGTTTCAGTTAGTGTGAGGCGTTCAAGTTGACTGCGTTGCTGAGCTTCGATGAGTTCTGCAAGAGTGTTGTGAACTCCAAGTTGATTGAAAAGTTCAGTGCTGGTGTAGTGCGGGAGGCCAAGTGCTTGCTTGTAGACTACTCGTATATGGGTATTGAGTTTGTTTTTTTCTGCATGGTACCAGTTCAGATAACCAGCACCGTAGGTGATATGACACAGGGCAAAAAACTGCACGAGGCGGAAAAGGCTCTCTTCTTTGAGGCCACTTCTTCGGTTGGATATATCTTTGAGACGTAAAGTGTTATGATATTGAGCTGAGATCTTGCTGACAGCCAAGCTGTTGGAGCCATTGGCAGATATAGTGAGACGGAGGACCCGGATACTAGGGACGTGCGAGATAGGGCTGCCATCTTGAAGGTTAACGGTGACGGTGTCAAAGGGTCGTTGTTCGTGTAGGTGTTTGGGGGGGGGCGTCACCGCTGAATGGGCTTGTAAAAAAGAAGCTTCGATTTAGCAGGTGAACAGTGCAGTCCAATTCTTTGGAGATATGCCTCAACCATGTCAATCGCTGTCTGCAGGGCTGTCTCCACTTGGCCATCACTACCTCGGCACGCCCAGATGGTGATGTCGTCGGCGTACATAGTATGGTGGATGTTGTCGACCTGTTGTAATTGCTGTGCAAGGCTGAGGATGACTAAGCTAAAGAGCATGGGATAGATGATTTTGGGGTGCCTACGCTGACAAAAGGAATCTGGGTTGATCGCATATCTCCGATCGAAAGTGTGGCCGTGCGGTTGGACAGGAAATCACGGATGTAATTGTAGGCTCGCTCTTCCGTGTGGAGGAGATACAGTTGTTCTAGAATAGTGGCAAGGGAAATGTCAAAAGCTTGACTAATTAGGTCGAGTCCGAGAACAGCTTTGGTGTTACGAAAGTGGTCGTTTAGAACTCGGTGCTCAAGTTGCAGCATAGCGTGCTTGTGCTGACAGGTGAGGTTCGAAATCCAATGATGGTGTGAGGATAGATAGAATTGTCTTCGAGGAAATTATTTCAACGTGCGCCGAAGGCAAGTTCCATAGCCTTGCCCACGCACTGAAGTGAGCGAAATGGGTTTCACGTTGGTGAGGCTAGATGATCTGCCGGGCTTTGAATGCAAGATGACTTTCGTAGTTTTTCAGGCAGGAGGAAGGGAGCCATTGCGCCAGCAATTATTGATGTCATCCGTCAGATGAAGACATGGAATTCGTCATCTGATTGCAGAAGGTTTTTTTCGCGACCTCGTCCGGGCCTGTGACCGTTTAGCTAACAGACGGCAGCATTTATTTTGGGTAATATAAATTCTGCGTCTAGTGTGGGGTTGCGGTTATCGACATAATTGTTGTGTGGGCTGACTTGTCCCCTGGAGATATACCTGGTGCAAAGATAGTCAAGCACGTTTTGCTGACCTTGCTTAAGGGTCTCCGCATAAAAAAAAAGGAGTTTCTGCCGCCGATCCTGTTGCGAAGTGCGGGTGTTGTAGTGTCGAGTAGGTGTTTCAAGAGTTTTGACAATGATGGGCGGTGAAGTGGCCCATCCATCCTGTTACACAGCTCAGTTCGTTGTTGCCGGCTGAGCATTCGACAGTGCTCGTCTATGACTGTGTTGAGTTTAGAGATCTTGCATCTGAGGTGACGGTTTAGGCACTGCTCTTTCCACCTAGCAACGATACAGGCCCCAAAAAGGTGGGCTAGGCGGCTATCCATGCGTTCGACCGGGGCATCTGTGGTTATCACCCGAGTGGCCATCTGGATGTCAGTGCATAGCGTTTGCGTACAGGTGTCAATATCGGCGACGCACTCCGCTGAGGCGGCGCTGATGCGTATCTTGAGAAATGCATTCCAGTCGGTCATAGTGAACTTTTTGGTGGGGGCAGGGGCAGCAACGAGATGAGGTAAAGAGATAGCGATGAGGTAGTGGTCACTCCCTAGGTCCTGTTTGGTGTTAGTCCAGTTTGCATTGTGGATATGGTAGGTAAATATGAGGTCTGGAGTAAAGTCCCGGATAATGGAGGTACCAAGGCGTGTGGGAAAAAATGAATTTGTGATAAGCGTGAGGCCTAAGTCGTGGTGATATTGCCAGAGGCTGCGAGCTGCTGCTTCCGTGCGGACATAGTGCCAACCAGTATAGGCAAGGTTAAAGTCGCCGCCAATAAGGAGAGGGTGCATTCCAGCAACACGAAGGGCCTTCTTAAAGAGAGTGAGGAATCAACACTTTGCTTTGCTGTACGGACTATTGTAAACGTTTAAAAGAAAGATGGATTCTTTCCGTTTACATCCTGGTAGGAACCGCAGCAATTATCACACAGAACAGACAACACAAACGCTTTATTGAGTTCCGTTTGTGGTTGAGAAATATTTCGAGAAACAGGTGTTCACTGTGAGGGATACGGAGATCTTTTCAATAACGGGGATGTGACGCCGTACTGGGGTGGAAACCCGGTGATGTCGGTGAGCTGTGTGGAATGTTTGATAACCGGGGACTGTAATAGGGGCGTTGCTTGTTTCTTGAAGTAGAATATCATAAGGGTGGCGGGTATGTTGACGTAGGTATTGATTAAGGACCAATCGTTTTTGGTGAAATCCTCTGCAGTTCCACTGCCAAACGAGGGTGCTTTCGTTATTTAGGGCCATGGTAGGAAACAGAAGATGACGCCATTGGCATTCCAGAAAGCTCACAGACGGGCGCAGCTTGGCCAGAAGGAGGCTTAAGAATATAATTTTCCAAGTTCACTACTTGTTGAACAATGCCCGTGAGAACGTGCTGGATGGTGTCGAGCGCTTGTTGGGAAGTAATCATAGTCATTTGGAGCATGGTGAGCATGTCCTTGACCTAAGAACGGACTTGGCCCATGGCTCCATCTTGCAGAGCTTTTCTTTTGGGGGCAGGAGTCAAAGATGCCTTCTGACTATGGGTAGGGGTGTTCGGAGCGGTAGGTGGGGAGTTGGCGTCGGAGTTTGTTTGAGGGCTTTAACCTCTTGCGTGAGTTTAATTAGGAGATCGCGTAGGTTCGCGTTCTCAGGCCTGAGTTGAGCTATTTCTGGGTTTTCTGACGAAGGAGCAGGGGCGATAGCTCGGGCGTTGTTTGTGTTACGACCCTTTGTCGAGGTGCCCTTGAGGGTCTCTGTAAAGCTCACCTTGGTATTGGTAGATTTGCTGCCTGACGCTAATGCGGACCGAGATCCCGAGCATTGTTGCCCGGACCGATGAAGTTCGAAAATGGGTTTGTCTTTCTTTGTCCTGGTTGCGGGAACGGGATCTGGCTTTGGTGTCTAGGGTGGAGAGGCCAACGTCTTAATCGATAGCTTGGCTGTTTATATCATCGTTCCCCAATGCGATTGCGAAGGACGTACGAGGTTTCATAACGAGCAGGGCAGCTTTTTCGGCAGTAAGAGAAGGGCCACCGCAGAGAGAGCACTTAGGGTCACAGTTGTCATCGATGAGGGGGGGGGGGGGGTTGCGAGCCTCGAAGTTTCAGCAAATCTTGTTCTTTGGGTAGGGACACACATCCATGCGGTTTCCCAGACGGCCGCACTGGTAACAAACATCAATTTGTTTCCGATATAGCAAACATGAGAGTAACGTGCGCTCGTAGCGGAGCTGATGACACCATCCTGGTCGTCAAAGGCGATAACTACCGCTTTAGTTGAGGCAATACACTTGGCTGCCAGGGCCACCAGGTTTCGAGCAGTGATGGTATCGTTGTGTATCTGCTGGGGGGTCTCCGTGAGTGGGATGCCACGAATGTCCCCCTGGTAGTGTGTACAGCTGCGGTGTTGTAAGCATTCAGGTCGTGGGTGATGCCGTTCACCTGGATGGCACGAATGCAGATGTACCGGTCTGCATGGTCCCGGTCAGGTGTGCTGATGACAACAATATTTTGTTTTATATTCGGGCAGACGGTATCTTTTATGCTTTCGTTATCCGTGAGTTCTGCTGCTTGGAGAATGGCTGCAGTCACCACAGGAGTGCATACCTTGGCTGTATGAAGGCCACCTTTGGGGCGAATAACAATCTTGAGGTCCTCCATTGGGAGCGGTGGCTTGAGGCCCACCTTTAAAAATTGAGCTTTCACACGCGGTCTCGCTTGAGACCGCGGCTTGTTACATGGGGCTTGAGATGATTCACGAGTCAGCCAGACTCGGTGGTCACGTCTTCCGGTGAAACATCCTAGCCGGCGACCTGGATTTCCATAGCGAACACGAAGGTGCGGGCTCACACTGGTGAGAGACGCAGATGACATGCGCCGAGACGCGGCCGGCGCAGTCGTAGACGAGACGACCGGTGAGCACGCTTATAGGCTTAAAACGGCAGGGGCGTGGTGGGTGTGCAGTATGGGGGGAGGGGGGTTCTCTGCTAAATGTGAAGTCCCACCTGCCAAGAAGATGTCTAGAGAGTCCGGAGAACTTCACAAATTGTTTGGTGAAATTTTTAAATGGCCAGTCACAGACAAAACCACGTAAACATTCGTGGAAACCGAAGCCGACGCAAACACGCCCGCACTCTGCGTTGATCGCAGCGCCATTGTTGAACGAAAAGTTTTTACCCTGTGCTTAGGCATTTTATTCTATAAATATAGATGTGTCAAAACGTAATCTTGACCAATATTAAATTACTGGAGAACATTTAGCCCTCAGCAGCACGTATATATGAGATCTAACAAAAACTTTTCGTATGGGCATGTCACAATCATCTCCTAAAATATTTGAAATGAATATATCACACTGTTTGGCACATGAATCAATGCTTTTATTGTTCTTTACTGATTTGCTCTCATTGTTGATCAGCGCTGCTGCGATAATTTATACAGATGACGTTACAGAATGCTACCACATAAGAACGAAAGAAATTTATTTAACAAAGTTAACGCCAAAATTGGCAGTATTAATGGCGGAGGCACTACTAATGACATCATACCTAGTTCTGCCTAGAATATATTAATTAACTTTTGTCTCTGAAAGACCACAAATATTGGCGCATAAACATATATTCATCAATGACCGTTTCTAACAGCAAGGTAGTTACAAATGTATTGCAGGTAGTCTTAGATTTACAACTTAAATTGAATTTACATGCACGCAACGCTGCTCAGAAAGCCTCATAATGAAACATGTCTTCTGTGACAGTCAAAGCTGTTTTTAAGCTATGCACAAATTATTATCTATAATGTATTCATTGTTTTACACATAAACCGCTGTATTGCTATATGCAGCTGCACATGCAAATCTCACCGGAATTTCAGGCTGACTATCCACCTAGAGGTCCTTTGCATAGCGAGGACTAATAGCGTGAATATCAGAGGCGCCGATCCGTTTCAAAAGTTCAATCTATCAAGTGTCTAAGATCAAGTTCGTCATGATATTGTTTTTGTATTATACAGAATATTTCCCGGCAACTTCAACACACTCTCGATATCTTTTCGTCCACCACCTCGAGAAGGCTGAAGCTCTTCGCACTGCCGACTTTTGCTACTCAAAATTATAATATTAACAATCTTCAAATATGGTAGTCAGAGAAACGATGATTAGGTAATACAATAGTGGTAATACAAATAAAGTCCCGTACTTTCCCTATTTCCTAGCACTCCTTCCCAGCAGTTTTAGAAGCGATGTCATTATATGCTACAAGCTTTCGTGTGGTACTCGCGGGGTACATTCAATCTCATATAGAAATGGAAATGAGCAATCAAATAACTTTCGTGATTTGCAATCGCAGTCTTTTTTTTTTGCGAAACTAATGTTTGGTTTGCTTTTCTTGCGGCATTTAGGTAGCATGCGTAATTTATTGCTGTCTTCAGTAACATATGTTTGTTTAGACCCCTGCGCATGCAGTACAGTGTTTCCTCGGCCGATTATCATTGATAGTGAACGTTCTCTATTTAGGCCTGAACCAGCGTGTGTGAAAATTAGTTGCGGCACGTGCAGACACATAAGACTCATGAGAAAAAATATATTTCTCATATTTTCACACAAAAGTATATTAACTATAAGCGTAGCCCTTGATATTTTGCTTGCAGGTTTAATTACGGGACCCTTGGCTCACAGATTCAACGCTCGTCCAGTGATTATTGCAGGTGCAGCGATTGCAAGCGCAGGCTCCATTCTCTGCTTCTTTGCAAGTACCATAAAACTTATGGCGCTGACACTTGGTGTAATACACGGTAAGGCGTCCTTACCTACCCTTCTTGATGGCACGAAAGGCAATCACGCCCTCAAACACCGTGAAAACTGCTCTACGTTGAGTCATGGAGGCTTGTCGTGATTTGTCATGGTCGTTCTTTTTTCTAAATACAACAAAATTTCTAATTATTGTGTTTCATTGTTTCACGTAAACTGGTTAAACCGTTTGCAAAATTTTCATAGAAGCCGTCATGCAGAGAAAATGGTATCTTGTTGCAATACTGTGTCAATATTGGGAAGAAGATAACAAAAATCTTGAAAAATTTATCAAATAAAAATTATCGCCAGAACCGATGCTGAAACAACAACGTCTATTTTTCGCGCTACATGACTTTCACTGCCAAATTACTGTCTCTGTTTTTTTTTCATAGTGTTCTTTTGTTACGTAAATAAATACGCAGACATTTCTTTTAAGTTCTTGCAGCTCATTATTGACTTCACAAAAGGAAAGAAATACTAAGAAGAAACATTGAATACGGAAGCTTGATAAGATTAAGAGCTGAGTTAGCTGGCGACTGGTAATTATACCATATAGTGAAGTAGCGCACATTTTACAGGGAGAAAGAAAACAAGCACACGACACTCGCTACAGTCGCAACTACATTTATTTACAAAAATATGCTGCACATATACACCGAGAGCACCCCGCAGCAAAATATGGTAAGTGTGCGAAATGTGCTATTAGATAAGTTTTGACTGACTGGTCATTTCTGTGTCGTTCGGGGGGGGGGCGTATACAATTGAATAAAAATGAAAGAATTTTTTTCTGAAATAAGTGTAGTTTCGTGTAGAGAAGGTTATGTCATTCTCGTCGCCAATTGTTTTTCATTGTCCGCCTAATAATTGCGCTACTTCATCATATGGTATAAAGAGGGGACCTTGATTTCTGTAGTGAGATATTTCACTTGTGATCGACTGCATCATATTTTTCAAATGTAAATGAAAACGTGCTCTGACAAAGAACCATGGACGCAATTTCCCAATAGTTCAAAAACTCACGTTTCATTACTAACAGAGCAAGGCAGCAGCAGAAAATTGATGTCTCGAGACATGAGAAGAAAAACAAAAACAAAATGATGTTTAGCGTGCAGTTCTGCTTATAAAATTCTTGGCGATTAGAAATTATAGCTGCGTAAAAGTGGCAGGCAAGTGCGCCGATAAAATAAACGAAATAACCAAGAAGTATTCTGCCGAAAAAGGTTTAAACTCAAGTTTTACAATAGAATATTAGAAATCTACAACTTAATGGTTCAAAATAAACAATCGAAAAATGTTTAAGACAGTACGTTAAATATTAATGATTAACGGTCGACTAAATAAACTCAAGCACCGATATGTATCGAAGGGCTGGAGTGGATATGTCTTAGAACATGAAATTTAAAATGTCAGAGAAGAGTTATACTGTAAAGTGGTATTCCACCAGCTACTATAGTGAAGTGCGCGAAACACAGAGGACCCACGAAATGGCGCCGATAACAGCGCTGTTTTTTCTGTCAATCTTGTACTTGCTTTTGTATTTGTTGCGCTGTTTCAGTTTCTACTATTGCGTGCAGTGGTATTCTTTGATACGTCACTGTGGTTTCATCAATCAAATAATTGAAAAAATTGCTGTACATCACAACCACTGTGTATGAGTTTTGTAGTGTACGAAAGTCATCAATGTGAGGAGAAAATTACCGGCAGACTTCGAAACATGGTACACTGCGTAGTATTTTAGGTACCGAATCATTACAACATAAAAATGGGTTAAAACTGAGTTAGCATAGCAGTAATGTAAGCCATAGTGTTGAAGTCTAGATAGCTCCAACTTCAACTGACTCTCAATGAAGCGTCATTGATGAGAATCGAACCAGTGACCTTCAACTCAGCAGGAAATGACGGCCGTTTCTTAAGCCTGAAAGTCGACGAGACATTTGTATCTAACCATCAGTGCAACATTGCAAGAAACTTAGAAAAAAAAAATGGCTGCCCATGTCCAAAAGCTCGTTTTTTTCTTGTGGTCAAAGGAGTCAAGAGTTACGCAATCTAACCCGTTTCACGCATTTTTCACATTAACACGTTATATCCTCAATTTTCCAGTATGTGGCGGTCCACTTTTAATTTTCATGTAATCGTACGATGCGCTGTTATTTTCTTTTCACTCGTCGCCTAATTTCTTCATTATTCGCGCACCATAGAACAGTAAGAAGGTGAACCTCTTCGCAGAGGACCACAAGACTTCGGCCAGTGGGGGCGATCGCTGAAGTCATTATAGAAATTACACACTAGAGACCCTTCACGCTGGGGAACCTTTCGCCCATTTTTCTTCCCCGTCAGTAAAGTGCTTTCGGCTATCATCCAAACACATCTATCAATACAATCTAGCCTAAAGAACACTAACACCTATTCAAAGCACATTATACAAGCTGTAGAGTCAAACAGCAGAGTGCGCCAATAAGAAAGTAGTAAACAACAAACGCCCACCTGTACATTCTCGAGACCGGAAATTCATGTTGAAATTCGATGAATGCGCAGTTTCGTATAGGCACCAAAATGACAAAACGGGTCTGAATATAGATGCATGCAACATCGGAAGTATATAGTGACAGCGCAGAAGTGAGAAAACATTGACTGTCTTTATAGAGGGGAAATCAAATGCCTTAAAAGACATCTGTAACGTAAACCGCCAGGCATGCCAGATTGATTGGCTGGGCATACGCAATTGATAATACTTCATGCCTTCTTTTTTTTTTCAGGTAGTGTGCCTTTGCAGTTGCTACTCGGTGTTTGTGGCGTCTTGAACTCTTTCTTGTGTCCGCTAGCCATTCTTTTTTAGCATCAGTACAAGTGAAGTAGCTGAGCTGTCCATTACTTGAGTAGAGGCAGCATAAATACGCGTTTTAAGAAATATATATATATATATATATATATATATATATATTTGACCTATAAATACTTATGCATTATTTAAACATTATTTTATGCATTTCTTGAATTGATTACTTGCATATTAAGTCAAAAAGT